TGGACTTGACACTTTAAAGACCCTCCTTTACAGTTCCGAGTTTATGTGGTAAAAAAAAAAAAAATAAAGAATAAAAGACCCTCAGCAAACAAATAACTTGATTCTAGGCATTAAGCAAAACCTGACAAAAAACTTTGAAGAGTCAGTATCATACAGGACAAATGCAATTAAGTTAGAAGTTGTTAACAATAATTTAAATTCTCAAATATTTAGAAATTTATTAATGCTAAATTATCCATCAGTCAAAAAGGAAATCATAACGAACATAAAAAATCTTGTAGCTAAATTTACTATCATAAATCTTGTATGATGCAGAAAAAGTTGTACATAGAGAGGATTATACCTTTAATTCCTATTTTAGAAAGAGGTTGAAAATTAAGGCTACGTGTAAGATATACACATTAGGAAAGAGTAAACCAAAGAACAGGAAGAAATAATATAGAAAAGGAGAAGATCAATGGAATTTAATTATAATATCATGAACTTGTATGATGCAGAAAATGTTACATAGAAGAGGTTTATACCTTAAATTCCATAGTTAGAAAAGAAGTTGAAAATTTATAGGCTAGGTATAAGTACACATTAGGAAAAGAGTAACCAAAGAAGGAGTAACCCAAGAAGGGAAGAGAGGACATGGAAGAAAATATAGAAAAGAGAGATAAATGAAGTAGAAAAAGGTACAATAAAAGAATTTTTTTGAAAAGAAAAAGTTCTTCATTGAAAATTAATAAAAAGGAAAGCTCTGTCAGCTTAATAAAGTAAAAAAAGGAGGCTAAATATTATATATTAGGAAAAGATGGATAGAATTACAGATAAAGCAAGGCTAAACTTTATATCATAAATTAAAATTTAGACAAAAAGCAAAATTTTCTAAGAAATATATGTACTTACCAAAACTGATTGAGGATTAAATGCCTCAAGATCCTAAAATTAAATGATGAATCAATATCAAAGATTACCCCAAAGAAATGAACCCAAATCTTTTACAAATGAATTTATCGACTTTCAAGAAAGAATGGTCATTCCATTTTAGGTCCTTTCCTTCAGAAAATAGAAAGAGAGGAATAGTCCCCAATTCATTCCATGAGGCCATTATAAGTTTGACACTGAATCCAGAAGGATAGGACAAAAGGAAGTGGGAGGTTATAAGATCAATGCAAAATTAACTAAATTCCAAATACCTACATAGAAAGTTAGAAATTTTAATTAAAAGGAATTGTAGCAGATTATTAGCCTAACTTCCAAAACTTTTTACTCCTTCTTCTATAACAGAATTTTAACTGGGCACATGGTCATCCAGGTATGGATTACATTTCTCAGCTTAACTAAGAGCTAAGCAGAGCCTTGTTACTAAGATACTAACTAAAATAAATTTTTGTTGTTTATAAACTACCCAATTTATAGTATTTTGTTATAGCAGCCCAACCAGACTAGGATATTTGGATCATTTGTAGGTCTGCTTCTGTCTTCTGTTTCTCCTCTTGGTTTTTTGTCATTATTTTCACCCCCCCCCCCCCCCCTCGCATTGCCTGGTAAATTTTGATTGAATGCTAGACATTGTATATGAAAACCTATAAGGCTCTGGTTCATCTTGTAATCCTTAGAGAAAATTTGATTTTCTTCTGGCAGGAAAATCACTTTAATCCAGTGCAGACTAGGTTTTAGTAATTTTTTTAATTAAAAAAAATTTTTTAGAGACAAGTTCTTGCTCGGTCATCCAGGCTGGAGTGCAGTAGCCCAATCATAACTCACTGTAACCTCAAACTCCCCACCTCAGCTTTCCCTCCTGGCCTCAAATGATCCTCCTGCCTTGGCCTCCCAAAGCACTAGGATTACAGTTGTGAGCCACCAGGTCTGGTCTGGGTTTTAGGGGGTATTTTTGTTGTTGTTTTATTTTGTTTTTAAGCTAGACTAGTCATGGTATGCCTTTATTTATAGTGTGTAGCCCTACAGAGGTTTCAGCTGAAAGCCTGGTGTGTTTACCAAGGGCCCTCATCCTAGCAGTCCTAAACTGCCACCTCTGTTTCCACAGCAGGTGCTATGTTACTGAAATCTCTGCTCAGTTCTTAAGCCTCATGGAAGCTGTTTTCTGCTTGATTTCCTGAAATACTGATGACCACACAACCACTTGGGAACAGACAAACACCTGGAGGGGAAATTGCTCACAGAATTTTGGGCTCCTTCTCTTTGGTTATTCCTCCAAGATGCTGGCTTGTCCAGACTTGTCTACTGTTTACAGACTGTTTAGACAGACTGATAAATGCTTGTCCATTATAGCCAGAGGAGAAAGTTCTTAGGATCATTTTTCTAAAGAGGTATAACTATGGAAATAGATGACAGTGGCCATAGTAATCCTTGAAAAATTTAGATCACATGAAATTATCTTTTTTTAACATTATTCAGTGGCTCCTAATTCCAATCAGAGTTAAATAAGAAATCCTTTCTAAGGCCCTACATGATCAGTTACTTCATTATTTCTCTTACCTCACCTTCCACTACTTAGCCATAGGGGGCTCCTGTTCTCCCAGCCAGGCAGGCACCATTCTGTCTTGGGCCTTTGGTGGCCCCAAAAGAATAACTTAACTCCCTCACCTATTTCAAGTCTTTGCTCAAATATTACTCTCAGTTAAACCTATTCTGACCATCCCATTTAAAGTTGTAAATTACCATTCTCTACCTAGATCTCCTGACTTCCCTCACCCTATCTTTGGTGGTTGTTTCTCTTTCACTTACTTACATCCTAAAATACTATACAATAGACTCACTTACTATACTTTGTGTTCGTTGGCTATAGTCTCTCAACAGACTGTAAGCTACATCAGGGCAGTGATCTTCATTCTATTCAGGGATGTACCCTAAGCCCAAGCACCTGGAACAATGCCTGACACACTGAGATAACTTAATTCATATTTGGTGAATGCATAAATGAACTGCCTTCTTGTATGACTCTGAAGGAAAATAATTTTCAATAAGTAAACAAGGAAACATTTCAGTAAACACTAAAGATTTCAATTTGTTGTAGAAACTAGTATTGGCACTGCAGGGAGACAAAAGTGAGTAAGACACAGAAGCCATAACGTTGGCCTGTTGGAGAATGGTAAGTAAATATTTGGGCCAGACACAAAACAAATGTCTCCTGTTCTAATGAATATTTATATTTTTATTTTCTGCTGTCTGTTGATTACAGAAGTTGTTTATAGTGTATGGAAATTCAGAGGGAAAAAAATCCAAGGAAAAATTTATGAACGCTTAACCTTATGAGCTTCATATTTGAACTTGCAAAGCTACGATTGACTCAATTCTGACTGCTACTAACAATGTCAATGGATGCCTCACTTGGTAATTTTAGTTTTTTGTTTTTTTTTTTATTTCGGCATATTATGGGGATATAATTTTAGTTTTTGTTGTTTGTTTGGAGGTGTTCTATTAACTCCATTATTCCGTAAGTGCAAAATCATGAAAGTGATGAATACACTCGCAACAGTCCCCAACCTTTTTGGCACCAGGGACCAGTTTCACTGAAGATAATTTTTCTGCAGACCAGGGATGGGGGGTGGGGTGTCACAGGGCTGGTGGAGGGGTGTGGAGCTCAGATGGTGACATGTGGCCCATTTCCTAACAGGCCATGGACCAGTACCAGGCTTCAGCCTGGGGGTTGGGGACTGCAGCACTAGCAGAGGACAACAATGATTATTATAAAAATAAAAAATAAATAAGATTATAAAAATCTTAAATTTTTAAGGGAATAATTGTGGCACATAAGTAAAAGATGAATCATTTTATGGTTTGAAGGACAGTGGAAAATAACATAATGTTAAAGGTGTTATGCTTATACCAGTGGTTCTCAGCTAGGAGTGATTTTGCTGCCCTGGGGATATTTGGCAATATCTAGAAATATTTTTGATGTTCACAACTTAGGGGCTGCTAGTGGCATCTAGTGAGGCCGTGGATGCTACTAAACATCCTACAAGGCACAGGACAGACTCTCACAACAAAGAATTATTTGGTTCAAAATGTTAATACTATCACCACTTAAAAACTCTGGCTTGGACAATAATCAACAAAAAATAAGAAAACATACTTGACAAAATGAAAAAGTTTTGATACTACAATTCAAGAATCTTTACCATTAACTTTGGGTAAAATTACTTCAGGAAATGGCTAGGAGTTTATAGTAGAACTTAAATGTTAGACACATGCATTATGTCACATGCCATATAGGGCTCCCTTAGTATAACGCCTCATGAATCTGTAACATATAGAAGGGCCGTGGCAATAAGGATAGATGCCGGGACACCAGGAAACTCTCTACTATCTCATAGACAGCATTAAAAAGTGTAATTACCTGTCTCAATAAATTTTTCTATGTCTATTTTTTGAAAAACAAAGTTCTAATCAAACATATCAGAAATGCAGAGGTGAGAAGGCCTGATTTTAAAGTTTTGAAGGACAAACTCACACTTTGAATGTGGCAGAAATACACCTTGGTGCTGTCACCATGGTGCTGTCCTCTTAGTTACCATGGACTTAGGAATAACTTGACTTAAGAGTAGCTTTTTGGGACCAAACCTGTTACTGTATAGATAAGTTTCCATGGTTGGATGTCATAGATATACAGGATTCATAAAAATTATACTATTATAATTAGAAGATAAAGCTAGGAAGGAAGGTTGGGGGAAGATGGTAAAGGGTTCGTTGGTTGCAAGGCTAAAGAGTTCACACTTTAGTCTGTGGGAGATGAAGGAGTCATTGTTTTTCAAGACAGTAATGTGACTAGGGGTCAAGGCTTCAGGCTTTTGTTTAAGGATTTCAAAGGTCAGAGACTCAAGACAAAAAGACCAGTTTGCAGACGACTAAGTGGCCCAAGTGTGACATGAGGAGGGCCTATCCAAGGGTCCCAAGATTATAAAGGTCTGTTTATAATGAACCTAACGTGCTAAGTTTGTAAAAGAAACAAAGCTTTTAAAAAGTAGTAACAAAACAAAGACAATTACATCAGAGAAAAGAAAGGAAATTTAAAAAATAAAAGAGATAAGTATGTGGCACCCCAAGATGTGTAGTGGAAAAAAAAAGAATGAGCCAGCTTTACCTTTCGATTTCTCCCGAAGTGGTGCCATGGTGGATGTCTCCTCAACCTTCTTTATCCTAAAGATTGTATATTATCATAAAATCGCTTGTATGTAAATATGGGTTACATTAACTTTAAAAGATATAGTAAGAGGCAAGCACCATAGTTTCAGTGAAACTCACTTGTTGAATGACATCACATGGGAATTAAACAAATGTTAAATAAAGGAAACTCCATTATAACTAATCTAATCGGAAGCAGATATGAACCGACCCAACATCTTGGTTTTTGCCTGTAAATTTTAGTGGTGGATGAGTGCTATGTATGACTTTTCCCATAGATCTTTACCATAACTCTCACTAGTCATGACTCAGGCAATGCTAAGAGAAAAAGGAACTAAGATTAAGGGCATCCAAATGTGTTGGATACCAACTATCACTAATTTGTGCACTTTTTACCCATCAATCACCCCAATCTAAATTTTGTCATAATTAACTTTTGTTCCTACTGCAATAGATCTAAATAATAAGTCAATTATCAGGGGATATACATAATGATTGAATCTGCTGTGGGTGAGATAACCAATCATAAGAATTCCAAACTTCTTGTAACTATGTTAAACCTTAAAAGTCAGCAAACAGATTTTCACCTCTCATGCTTCCGTTAAAAAAAAAAAAAAAAGTAAAAAAACAGAAAAATAAAAGTCAGCAGCAGCTTTTTAATACTCTTCACCTCTAGGATTATTGTTATTAGTTATATTATCAGAGTGTGCTTTGAGATTCACTGTAAATTTTTGATTATCAACAAAGAAATTTGAAAAATATTAGACTTTAATCAGAACTTTACAATAAAATATCCACATATGGAGAAAAAAAGAGGGTAAGGGGTTGTACACAAACCAAACATAACTGAGTGCCCTGCTTTGCCGATGCAGGGCAATGTGTGGAGGAGAATGAAACACTTGCAGGCAACTTGACAAGTTCTCACTAGAATGGCCAAAATGAAGACATTTGTGTCAAAGGCAGGGAAAAGAACTAACAGTTATGCTTGCCAAACACTTTATACAAACTGTGTCACTTAGCTACCACTATTCCACTTTATATGGGAAGAGCACTTGTCATAACACGAATAAAGTGTATCCAATTATCCTTCTTTGACTTAAGTAAATTCACACTCGAGTCAGTGTAAAATGTTTAGAAATAATTTCACAGTCAAATCACAAATGACAAATCATAAACAACCCAAAAAACAATTAAAATAGGGTAGAAATAATAGCAAGCAAACTGAAAACCCCAAATTAAGAGGTAGAATGGGCCAATTTAGGGGTACTTTCTAAGGTTCCATGTATTGAAGGAAGGATAACAAGACTGGTCTATACTGATACAAAGTCCATTGCCACAGACAGCCCTATACATCCCTAACCCCTCCCCAAAGGGCACTGTGACCCCCAGTGAAAATGACAAGAGTAAGTTGAGTGGCAGGGATATAGGTATCTTGGTAATGATGTTAACCTACTGTCCTTAGTAGGTTTTATATTCATGTAAGAAATGATCCTTCTTCTTTCTGTATCCCTGCCATCCCTCCTCTTTGACTTAAGTTACCATCTACTCTATCAGCAACTCACTCTCTTCCACCATCTCTGATCCTGCTTATTTTATTACAATCTTGCTTCAGAAAGAGTAATTTTGCTTTTTATATTTTATAGCTTTAAAATATGTCTTCAGATAATATTAAAAATTATAAGAAAGGCTATATGTATGATATCATTCATTGTGGTGTTATTTACAAAACCAAAGAAGTCAAAGCAACTTAAAATTCAATAATAGGAAATGGTTAAATAAACTGTGGACCCATCGATGAAATATAATGTGCACAGTAAGATTGTTTGATGAATATGTAATGACGTGGCAAAATGCATATATGTAATATTAACACATTGACAGCTACACTAGAAAAAAATTTTTCCCTTGGGGCCAAGGTGTTTTATTATGAAAATAGAATAAAAACTTCAAAAACAAAATGATCCTAATTTAATAAAAAAATTGTTATTTTTTATTGTTTTATGTGCATGAGTTATATGCAACTTGAAAAATAGTTGAAGTGGCTCCCAAGGTAAAGAGACATGTGAGTTACATGTGCTTCATGAGGCCCCTGGCTCAAAACTATTGTGAGTTAAATACAACTCACATGGCAGTTAAGGTGTTAAGTAAAAAAAAGGGGAGCCAAGATAAAAAATTTCAAGTACGCTAAAATCACAACTAAAATAAAATCCAAGAAAAAAAAGAAAGCTACATGAGAACACTGAAAATGGATATGTTAGGATAGGTATATTATCAAATAATTGTTTTTCTTTTTTCCCTAGATTTTATGCAAAGTTCTTATTTATTTTCATAATTTAAATAAAAATTATCCACAACTTTTTAACATGATCTAGTTTTCTATTTATATTACCAGAATTTATTTCAAGAGTATTTAACAAGAACAATAGTACTAGTTGGAAAACTCAAGAAATATATTCTAAAACTCCAATCTTGTGTGCTATATATCACTGGATGACTTGAAAGTTCATTATGATGGGAAAATAATATGAAAATATACATCATCCCCTAAAAAATGTTGTAACTCAATGCTACAGTGCTTCATATATTTTAGGCTGGCAAAGTGAATAAGTAGTAGACATTCAACGAATATCTGAAGAATAAATGAATAAACCAAAGAGAAACTGAATAGAATATGAGACTATCTCACTAACATATAGGTCCCTTTGGAAAAAGGGGTTTTTGTTTAATGATATGCTAGTCAGTCTAATTTATAGCAAGAAAGAATGTATAATAACGTTTGTGAATGTTAGTATTAAAAGTCAGGGAGACTTTCCTGGCTGAAAAATTCATTCCTGATAGTCAATGCAAAGTCTTAACTAGGCCAATACCTCATTCAGAATCTCCCCTTACACCACTTTAATCATACTAGAAATGAAACACAAGTTCTAATTCAGGATACAGAAATCGGTTAATATTACTGAGAGTTAATTTTTTTATCGCTAAAAATTCCAATGCTTTCATGGGCATAATCTAGGCTAGGGCAATCAAGATTTTTAAAAGGAAGTCCTTAAATCCTTTCTGGTAATGTCACTTGAAAACAGAGAAAAGTGTCTACTTGTGAAACTAATAAAATGGCTAACTGGGAGTAAAGAAATTAAATCCTGGCCGGGCACGGTGGCTCACGCCTGTAATCTGGGAGGCCAAGGCGGGTGGATTGCTCGAGGTCAGGAGTTCAAAACTAGCCTGAGCAAGAGCGAGACCCCTTCTCTACTACAAATAGAAAGAAATTAATTGGCCAACTAATATATATAGAAAAAATTAGCCAGGTATGGTGGCACATGCCTGTAATCCAGCTACTCGGGAGGCTGAGGCAGGAGGATGCTTGAGCCAGGAGTTTGAGGTTTCAGTGAGCTAGGCTGACCCACGGCACTCACTCTAGCCTGGGCAACAAAGTGAGACTCTGTCTCAAAAAAAAAAAAAAGAAAGAAGAAAGAAAGAAATAAATCCTTTATGGAAAACCAGTAGCAAAAAAAATATTAGCATTCACATTCTCTCTCTTT